ACAGCACATATATTTTTGTACGATAAATATAAGGCATATGAATTCAACGAAACATTTTTCGATCAACTTTCAATAATGGATATTAATGGGGATGGTTCAAGTGACCTGATTGGTTTCTTGGCGAATGGAACATTCTTTTGTCGACTTGGTTCGGCAGCAAATGATTTTTTACCGTGCGAAAAATCATTCAGGTATTCCCTTTGATTTTTCATGTATTATATCGTTTCATTGTTCAACTTTCAATAACGTATGGTATCAGTTCTTAAATACTGCTTCATTTCTCCGATGAGAACGTCCTATTTCCTGGGTATTTATTGCATTCTCAAGGCATTTCATTTACATTTTTTAGAGGATTCAATGCAAAGCCATATGAAGGATTCCTGCATGGATTCGTAGATATAACTGGTGATTTGAGTGCCGAAGTGATATTCGGTACTAAGGATAAGAACGATCGATTAAAATTGCAAGCTTGGCAAAGGATATCAAAGTATTGTTTCGATTCTTCTTTAGATTTGCTGTAATCTGTCAATCTGGATGGATTCGTTTGTTTTTTTTTTCATCGTTCCAAAGCTTTCAGCTAATTAATCAGATCACATTCGCCTTCGGTTCTTTCCACTTTTATTCGCCCATGCCAAATATCCATGTTACATTCGTATGTCTGCATGTGTTTTCATGCAAACTTTTTCAGTGATGATTGGAAATATGTACCTAGCTTGATAGGCGATTTACCGGTTGAATCAGGCAAATATTATGGGGCTGCGTTATTCGCGGATTTTGATGCGGATGGGTTGGTGGATATCGGTATACCGTGGTGTGCAGATGCTAGCTGTACCAAAATTGACGGTATCAAGATGTGGAATGGACGTATCGGCACTTGGCAGCATTTATCGGTCACTGGACTTGAGGTGTTCCTTGAATCGATCTCGTTTCACATACTCATTTTCTGAATACTTTTCTCGTCTCATCAGCGCTGTTCGAATATTACTGCACATTTGGTGTTCTCATTGGATTTGGTATCCACACATTGTTTAAACATTCACTTTACCATTCACTGTGACTGATTGCATACATTTGAAGTGTAAGGTTGTAATTACTGCAGGGATCCGAATTAGTCTCGAATAAAGGTGAGGGCAATGTTGTTTTCCGAGTTGGTGATTTTTCATTAGACGGCTATCCGGATATGATTGCGTTGGTTCGAGAAAAGACACAAAATCCGATGATTCTCGAGAATGTTCCGTGCACTGATTGTATATCAAATGTGTCGAGGTCAGTCATCACATTCGGTTTTATTCTCATTCGTATCCAGCCTTCACTTTTTACTCGTAGCTGATCCTTTCATTGCTGTATGAAGCGAAAATTACGAGTTATAAACTT